TCCACTTTAAGCATTTTTTACATGATTCAGTTTTAATAAATTATCGTTAAGTACCTAGAAGGTAATAATCTCATTACCTACAATAGAGTAGAGGTTGGGCACATATATGGGCAAACTTGTATCTTGCTAAATGTAGCATAAAGTTTGAAAAGTGAGCTGGGCTCCCAGCGTTCTGGAATTCATCAGTAAATTTGATTGTGAAAAATGGAGCATCTTGAGTAAGGCATATGAAGCAATACTGTAAGAGTCTGGGTTAATCAAAGAGGAAGCTACACTGTCAGAGATTTTCAAGTAATTTGTAACAGATATTTAAAAGAGATTCATCATGGGGAGAAAACAAGAGGCCATAGCTTAAATACAGGATTCATGTATAGGTTAAATCCACAAGAGAAACTCCTTTCATTTAAAGATTGAAAAAACAAAAAAGGAAACATGTCAATAGAATGCACGAATAAAGTTTGATAGTGTGTTTATTAATCTTAAAATATAAAACATTTTCCTTTGCTTCACATGAAATTCAGCCTATATCAGGAGAATTATTCCCTTTATAGGTAAAGGATACTATTAAAATTCTGAACCTCTAAACTCTAAAACTCAGCTAAAGCCATCCTATCTCTCTATTTATTTATTTTTAATTTATTATTATTAATTTTTTTTGCCACGTTGCAGGGCTTGCAGGATCTCAGTTCCCTGACCAGGACCGAACCCAGGCCACGGGGAATCTTAGCCACTAGACCTCTAGGGAAATCCCCTATCTCTCAATTTAAAATTTGAAATGGTTCACATATGAAGAACTTACTATACTTTCTAGGTAGATTAAGTGTGGGTATAGATAAAAATGTCAAATTAAATAAAATTGACTGCACAGAAGATTTATATACAGCAGGAGAAAAAAGAAGCTCAACTTCTTACTTTTCAGGACTTTGCAATTGAACAATCTTTTGATCAGGGTAATGGTTTCTTTAAGGATGTATGATTATGAAAAATAAATATAAAATTTGAAAAGAAAATGAAGGGAGGAAATAAATTAAAAATTGCTGAAAACTGAAACTAAGACATTCATACTCTTGTTTCCAGGAACTAGGGAAACCAAAAATTTTTATGACAAAGTTTTCTTAAAAGCAGAATATATATACCTTTCTGTTTCCATAATGGCAGGACAAGCCTGTGATAGCCCAACTCCCCTACTGGTAATAATTAAAAGGACTAGAAATAGCACAAATCAAGCAAAACAATAACAACAACAACACTCTCCTAAGTCTTCTGGAAAGTAAACAAAATCAGGGATTGTGGAGGGGAATGAAAACTAGTTTCTTTTTTTTTTTTTTCACCCTCATTGCTTTGTCTAGAGGGCAGGTACTAGACAAGGAGCGTCAAAGTGATTCTGGACCTAAAACACATCCAGAAATATAGAGGGTATGCTGGAAAGAAGCCAATACAGGTTGAATACTGTGGGGGTAATCCCAGACAGGAGTCAGAGAAGGAGACGCCATAATTTTGTAAATAAAACCACAGAAATCTCAGCCTAAAGTCTGAGCTTGGCATGCATAGAGCAGATACAAAACTGTATAGCAAAGGCATTAAGAAATCAACTGTGAGATGTGGATCCCGGATTACAGGAGGCAACACAGAACTTAGAGGTGATTATCTACTTAAAAATACATTTTTCCCATATGGTTGTCAAGACGCAGAGTCTGCACAACATAATATTTACAGTGTCCAGGACACGATGCAATATTCCTCAACATTCAACAAACCAGGAGAATATGACCAATTCTAAAGGGAAAAGACAATTAACATATGCACATCCCAAGATGATTCAGATGTTGAATCTACCAGATAGAGATTTTAGAGCAGCTAATTTAACTTTGTTACATGAGGTAAAGAAAAAACACATATAGAATTAATGAATATATAAGAAATCTCAGCACAGAAACAAAAAATATAAAACAGAACAAAATAAGAAATTTAGAGCTAAAAAAATATCTTAAATAGAACAGAAACCTCACTGGATGGACTCAGTAGCAGAAAAGAGATGATGCAGTAAAGAATCCGTCAACTTGAAAAGAAAACAACAGAAATCATCTAATCTGAAGAACAATGAGAAATAAGATATATAAAACTGAACAGTGTCTCAGAGATCTTTGAGCCAAAACATCTAATGTGTGTAAGTAAAGTCCTAGAGATGAAAAAGAGATTAGGACAGGACAGATGTTTGAAGACATATGATAAAAAACTGCCAAACATACTGACAAATATAAATTTACAGATTCAAGAACTTCAGTATACCTCAAACAGGATAAACCCAAAGAAAACCATACCTGGGCATATCCTAGTCAAAGTTATGAATAACAAAGATGAATAAAATAACTTGAAAGCAGCTTTAGAAAAATGACACATGGGCTTCCCTGGAAGCGCAGTGGTTAGGAATCCACCTGCCAGTGCAGGGGACATGGGTTCGAACCCTGGTCCTGGAAGATCCCACATGCCACGGAGCAGCTAAGCCCATGCACCACAACTGCTGAGCCTGTGCTCTAGAGCCTGCGAGCCACAACTACTGAGCCCGCGGGCCACAACTACTGAAGCCCATGTGCCTAGAGCCCATGCTCCGCAACAAGAGAAGCCACAACGAGAAGCCCGCACACCGCAACGAAGAGTGGCCCCTGCTCGCCGCAGCTAGAGAAAGCCCGCACGCAGCAACAAAAACCCAACACAGCCAAAAATAAATAAATTTAAAAAGAAAAATTAAAAATTAAAAAAAAAGACACATGGCATACAAGGGATAAACAATTCAAATTACCACGGATTTATCATCAGAAACCAAGGAGGCTAGAAGACAGTGGAGCCATATCTTTAAAGAAATGACAACCCAGAATTCTTCCCAGGGGAAAAAAAAAATCATCAGGAATAACAGAGAGGCCATTTTCAGATGAAAATTAAAAAAAAAAATAATAGACTCTATCCCTAACAAATAGGACCTACAATAAATGGGGAAGGAATTTCTTCAGACTGGAGGACAATAATATCAGAGGAAAATCTGAATCTTTAAGGATGGAGGAAGAGTAAAAGGAAATGGTAAAGAGATGAGTAAATAACATTTTTTTTCCTCTTCAGTTCCTTAATATATCTATAACTCTTAAAACAAAAATCATCATAATTTCTGGTGAGATTCTCAATTAATATGAATGCAGATATAATACATATGATATTAATAATAAAAAAAGATCAGTGTGGAGCACTTGTAAAGGAACCTATATGGTTGTCAGGTTTCTACATTTAATGTAAAGTGTCAGATAATTAACTCTGAGAGAACATGAACAGCTATTGAACGTTAAGTACATCGAGTCAGAGATTAGCGCAGAAAATGAATAATTCATGAGGAAGACATATGGAGAGAGAGAATGGGAGAGAGAATAATGATCCCCCAGTGATATTCATATCATAATCTCCAGACCTTTTGAGCATGTTACTTCACATGGGAAAAAAGAGCTTTGCAACTGTGATGTAAAGGATGTTGAGTTGAGAGAATTATCCTGGATTACCCAATGTGGGTCCAATGTAATTGCAGGGAAGTCAAATATAGAGAAGATGTGAGGAAGGAAGCAGAGTCAAAGTGATACGATGCGAGAAAGACTCAATCTGCCAAAGCTGGCTTTGAAGTTGGAAGGAGACTGCAAGCCAAGGAAGGTGGGCAGATTCTAGAAATGGAAAAGACAAGAAAAGGGAATCTCCTGTAGGGCTTCCATAAAGAAACACAACCCTACGGACACTTGATTTTATCCCGGTGAGAATTATTTCCAACCTCTGACCTCAAGAGCTTAAAATAATATATTGTGTTGTTTACAGCAATAAAATTCTTGGTCATTAGTTATAGCGACAATAGGAAACTAAGAGAAGATAGCTATAAATGTGTACTGTGTCACTGAGCCTCAAAATATATGATGCAAAAATCAACAGGATTACAGAGAGAGAAAAAAGTTCACAATCATGGTGGAGGATTTTAACAATCATCACTCTAATAGAACAAAACAAATTCAGTAAAGACAAAGAAGATTAAAGAACACTAACACCCACCTTGATCTAATGTATATTTATAGAGCACAATATCTGCAGAATATATATGTTTTTCAAGTACACATTATGTATTCACTAGGTAGATCATATGCTGGGACATAAACCTCAATAAATATGAAAACATCAAAATCATATAGAGTGTATTTTCTAAGCACAACTGTATTAAATTAGAAATAAGTCACAGCAAAATATCTATGAAAACAATAAATATCTGGAAGCTAAACATATCTTCATAAATAACTATTGACCAGTGATGAAATCACAAAGAAATGTAGAAAATATTTTCAACTGAAAGCCAAGAGAAAGACAACATATCATTATTTGTGGCATGCAGTTAAAATGCTTAGAGAGAAATTCCAGAAAAAGCTGAATAAACCAATATGCAAGACTTTAACAGCAAAGGAGGAGTGCATCTGTGATCAAAAAACAACTTATAGTTTGTTAGCAATCAGCCCTTGAAAAATAGAGTATCCTAAGTACTGTATTTTAAACACTATACAATAACTTATGAGGATGTAAAATAATTCAACAAAACAACTTGAAATGAGAAATGAAATTCTCACTACATATGTGAAACACAGGACCATTAATATGAGGAATAAACAGATAAAAATCTAAGGTGATGTTGATCAATTACTTATAACTAATATAATTCAGTTTACATTGTGTTTTGGGTTAAACGCTGTGTAATAAAAGGTCACAATTTTCAGGATAAGCAACATTAAGACCATTAAACATATAGCACTGTGAAATCTCCCATAACCGCCACTAGATGTCTCTAATAACTGACTTTGGCTGCATTCCTTCTAAAGTTATGCATTACATACTACAAAGTGAACTACTGTATTTTGATTTTCCCACGAAAATTCATGTTTTTCAAAGCAGAAAAGTTGTTTTAATAAACATACAAAATGAAAATAACTTACATTCAATATCAAGGTACATGCTTTTCTGGTGCCCTCCAATTCTACTTGCAGCTTCACAGTCATATCTCCCTGAATCTGACAACTTCACATCTTTAATATGCAGTGATGAGCTTCTGTGTTGCCCTCTGACTTCGATACGTCCATCTGGGCTCTGTTTACATTGATTCAGGAAAAATAAAGATTTTATGCGTATTTTGTGTAAAATGATGATGAAACATATTGCATTTATCATAGACACAATAAATGAAAATAAACTCTTACCTGTATTCATTTTTTATTTCAAAAAAGCAGTGTTTATTTATACTTTACTATTTTTAGCTAATCCATTTTACCAGCCCACTTGCTTACAGGGACACTGACTTGTAAGTAGTAAAAACTTAAACATAAGTTTTATCAACCTCTTTTATTTATTATGCTTTTTGCTTTTTATAAAGCTAGTATGTTCTTCTCGGAAGGATTTTGTTGTCTTTCAATTGTGTTCTTTACAAACATAGCAAAATGACAATAATGCCTATTCAATTCTGGCTAAAACCTACCAGTGAAAATGATATTCCTGCTGTATTTTAGTTTTCTATTTCACTAAATAAGGAGAATGTATCAAGATGTATGACAATTAAAGATTTTAAGAGGAATTTATAGTTTTCATTTTTGAATGAATGAAACAGCATTGCTCATAAGCATAATTGGTACTATATGCATCATAGATACACTATTAAAGCACAGCATTCTTAGGAAGTCATTGGAAACAATATGGAAATTATTAATCACTTAACTCCACAAATATGACTCAAATCAAGGAATTGCTTATAATCCAATAACATATAGATTATATTTCAAATAAGAATTATTGTGTGCAACATAATTATAGAATTTTCTTAAATCAAATACCTTTATAGCACACATATTTAAAACAAGAATAGTTTATTCATTGAATTTTACTCTGTACTATCAAGAAATATAGTGACCTTTTAGCACTTTATAACTCATCGGAAACATCTGCTCTACCATTATTGAATTGATTCTTTTTAATATTTGAGGTTTTAGTGTTCAACAAAATATTGTATATCATACATTCAATTGAAATATGTATGTTATTATAAACAGTATAATGGTTGTTTAATTTTCTATATGACAGATTTGAACAAATTTCAATACATGTGTGTACTTTGCATTATTAAACTAATGTTTAACTATTTTCCTTTATTAATATTAAAAGACTATCTTAAAGCTCTTTTTCAAACATGTTGATTGGGGCACAATATGGTTACTTTTTTTTGCTTTTTAATTTTATATAGGAATGCAATCATTATACAATCCTATCACTCACTCATAATTCACTATCTGGAAAATGGTCTTCAAAAACAAAGAAATAAACAAAAGCATATCAGGGATGTATTATGCAACTTAGATCAAGATTTCTATGTCAAAAATATGTTCCCCACCTCCCAAGTATTGCTAAAGAAATAGTAAGGTGAAGTTTTCAAGCAGAAGGGCATTCTCTTCTGCCAATTTTTAAGATGTTCAGTTGCCAAACCCATTTACTTAATTGAAAGAAAGCAAAATGTAAGAATCCACAGAAGTTAAAAATCAGAATGAATAAACCCAAAAGCAAAATGGACAATTGTTCTACAAGGTAACTAACTGCTGTTCCATAACTAAATAGGTATTCTTTGGTCCTTATCTCACTGCAACTCTGTTCATCATTAAATCCTATTGAACTATATCCTTCTTTTCTTGTGTGCTGACTTCCCTTGGCTTTCACGACACTCACATGATCCTGATTTTTCTCCCAGTTTTGGTTGTAGTTTCCTTGGGTTTGGTTTTGGTCACAGCCTCCTTTCTTCCTCGGGGCCTCTGTATTCTGTCCTGGACTCTAGTGTCTTTTCAGTCAATACAATCCACTTAGGCACTCTTATCCCTGCCCACATCTACACTGATGATCTCTAGTCACTCTTTCTCCACCCAGGATCCTTCTTTCCCTGGAGCTACATAACTAGATATATCATATGCAGGGCAAGTCCATTTGACGTATATCTCAAACTAGCATGTGCAGATGAATACATCACGCCTTACCCAGCATCACCTGCCCTCTCCCAGTTGTCTTTCTATGAATGATACTAATTCTTTCCCATGCCCCATGCTATACCATGTCCTCAGTCTTGGATCAGTTGCTGAACATTTATTCATCTATTTATATTCTGAATAATGATAAATCTCAGTTTATCATCTTGCTCGACATTATGATTTCCAATTTTCAGCAACTGTGTTTCCATAGACCTATCTGCTCTCTGCCTCTCCATTTACAGTTTTAGTTGTGCTGCTAAGTTGGAAGGATATTGACAGGCGTCTCTGGATTTCAGAGAGAACAATCACATTCAGGCTGAATGTGACTAAAAAAGACTCCCTGACTCTGCAAAAGCCTTCAACATTATGTTATTTCCTATGTTTCTCTTAGCAAAAAATCATTCCAGCTGCAGAAATTATTTCTTGTGTAACTAAGAATAAGTCTTTTTTTTTTAAAGCAAACTTTTATTTCTCATAACAACTTTATGAAGGTTTCACATCCCTGGACCTCTTACTCTATAATTACAAATAACATTGTATTGCCTCCCAAGTAAAACCCCAATCCATTAGCCTGATGTTTACGGACTTCCATATGGTATTACCTTTCTGTTTAAGCACAGTTTACAATTTGGATACTGTTAATTTGGATTCCATTTAATGTGAATTATTTGTATTGTCATGAATGTCCTGTGCTTTCTAAGCAGTCTTCACACATCTTTCTCAAATCTTTCCCCCTTTATCTCTTCCATATTTACGTGGCAGTATTCTACCATCATTCTTTCAATTTCTTGGCCAGATATCAATTCATACTCAAAATAATCCCTGGTTGACTACTATACATACAGATATAATGTCCCTGTGCTTTTCTTGGGACACATTGCTTTTTCTAGTCTTACGGGAACTTCAGATTTTATCCTGCAGTTTGATATTATAGTTGTACAAATGTGAGAATATTTTTATGGTACTTTGTGTGAAAGTAACCTGGACTAGTACTTAGGACAGAATCATTACATTCTAAAATTTTTATAAAGCAAATTAAGATATAGTGAAATGTACATATAATTGAATAAAGAAAATGTAATCCTTCAGCTATACTTTACTATGGATTAAAAACATGACATTTAATACCTTAATTAGAATGTGGCAAGATACATTAATAATGACGCGAAGCAAATTGTTCCTTCTTTCATTAGGGAAAATATTGTTCTTTTGCACATTAAAAAGTAAACTTACCCACCTTAAAAATCAACAGGTACTTTTGTTATTATGATACGGTTTTTGACTTGTGGAAAACTATCTGTGTGTGTAAAGTTAGCATGCTATTAGTAAAAATGGTTTTATTTAAAAGTTTTTAATAATATGCCTAAAATTAATAGAAATTCCGGAAGACTAGAATTTCTTCTGGAACGTGTGTGATTCACTGAGAAATTGTAAGTCATTTTCAGAGTTGGCATTGGCTTTGTAATAATGTACAATATGCATTGACTAGAAAACCAAAGTCATTTCTCCTCATTTCTGACATTCCAAAGGACATCTTTCTCTTTGTGCTACAAAAAGGCATTACACATATCTGAAAGAAAATTCATTATATCTTGGCTTTGATTCACTACCTACTGAAGATTCACTTAAGACATCTGATATTTGATTGAGACAGGTTAATGGGCATATTAGTTCTCCATCTAGTATTTTCAGTTTCTATCACTGCATTAACATGATTAGAAAGTGTCTGACTGTACATTATTATTCCAGTCCTTTACAGAAGGACTCTCTGAAATTTAACTTGATATTATATCTGCCTTTCTGGAAGGTCAGCTTAAGAACTGCTTGAATAGTATTTCAATATTTTGATAAAATAATTATTTATAGAGTTTATTGTCCTTTCAATAATCCCTTAGTCAAATATCTATGTGATAACTACCATCTTCAGTTTAGTTCAAACATAAATATTTTGTTGTAAACTTTAACTGTTGGGCATTTGAATTTATATAATGTGTCCTGTTTATTTTTGTGGCTTTACCTGACTAGACATTTACTGTCAAATTTGGGATCCAATTGTAGTGCACAACACATCTGAGTTGGAAAGTATTCCTTTCTTTCTTCTTCCTCACACTCTTGTCTTTGAACCTTTTTACAGTCATTGACCCTTTGGCCTTTTGAGAAAATTGTGGATCATGTCACTTAGTTACTCAACATTTTTTTCTGTATATGTGCAATTGTTTCACAATAAGCATCCAGGCACTGGGGATATAAGCTGAGCAAAATACAATAATTTCCGCTCTTCATGGAATTTAAGTTTAACCGAGAAGACAGATATTACTTCTAAGATATAATACAAATAAACTCAAAAATACAATGTAGGATGGAACAGGATGGAAAGCCCAGAGATAAACCCACGCACATATGGACACCTTATCTTTGATAAAGGTGGCAGGAATGTACAGTGGAGAAAGGACAGCCTCTTCAATAAGTGGTGCTGGGAAAACTGGACAGATACATGTAAAAGTATGAGATTAGATCACTCCCTAACACCACACACAAAAATAAGCTCAAAATGGATTAAAGGCCTAAATGTAAGGCCAGAAACTATCAAACTCTTAGAGGAGAACATAGGCAGAACACTCTATGACATAAATCACAGCAAGATCCTTTCTGACCCACCTCCTAGAGAAATGGAAATAAAAACAAAAATAAACAAATGGGACCTAATGAAACTTCAAAGCTTTTGCACAGCAAAGGAAACCATAAACAAGACCAAAAGACAACCCTCAGAATGGGAGAAAATATTTGCAAATGAAGCAACTGACAAAGGATTAATCTCCAAAATTTACAAGCAGCTCATGCAGCTCAATAACAAAAAAACAAACGAACCAATCCAAAAATGGGCAGAAGACCTAAATAGACATTTCTCCAAAGAAGATATACAGACTGCCAACAAACACATGAAAGAATGCTCAACATCACTAATCATTAGAGAAATGCAAATCAGAACTACAATGAGATATCATCTCACACCAGTCAGAATGGTCATCATCAAAAAATCTAGAAACAATAAATGCTGGAGAGGGTGTGGAGAAAAGGGAACACTCT